CACGCTGACGAAGGCACAAGTGGAAAATGGACCAAGGTTACTGCTGAATCAGACTTGGTTCTATTGGTCCAGACATTGTGGCTCTCACAGGCCAGGGCTGTACCCACAGACACAGATCCATAGATGTCTTTAGTGGAAAGCATGCATGTGTGCATGCTAAGTCATTTTAGTCGTGTCCAACTCTTTGCCACACTATGGAGTGTAGCCCTCTGTCCATGGGATTTCCCAGGAAAGAATACTGGAGTGGGTTGCCGTTTTCTCCTCCTGGGGATCTTCCCGACCCAGGAATCAAACCTGTGTCTCATGTTTCCTGCATTGGCAGACGGGTTCTTTACGACTAGCACCAGCTGGGAAGCCCATAGTGGAAAGCATGTATTCCTCTATAAGAGCTACTCATATCAGTGAAAGTGAAGAGGGTACTGTATTTTTCCTTCCAAAAATTAAAAATAGAGAAGTGAATGTAGGTTGATGTTCTTAATCGTTCTGTTTACTGTTCATCTCAAAGAATTCCTTCCTGTTCTGAGAAAAACTAACAAAGCTTTTGCATGCATTTCCATGATTTCCAAGTCTGAGGAATGTGATTAATGAGAGCCAGAACTGCCAAATTCTTAGAAAAGGTATGATTTTCAAAACTGAGCAATGAAACCCAGATTCCTTTTCTCAAATTCTGACTGATCCACCAAGATATTAATAACTGAACTGACCACCTATTTGGAAACATCAAGGGTCTCACATGCTTGGCTTCACGGGTCTCTGCTCACTGCCACCCCAGATCAGAACCCCCACCCCAGGTCAGGGGATGTGAACAATGATTCAACCATGCTTGTTCTTTCCATAACTCTCAGGACTACTTTCACGAACATCTAGTCAAACTTTCCATTCCAGGACTTCAGAAAAAAGTATTTGGGGACCAACTATTTGATGTGGTCTTATGGCCCAAATCTTAACCCCACACCCTCCAAACTACATTCATCTCCCATCTCGGATCCACCACGCATGAACCTGGGCGAGCCCAGGGCATGAGCTACTTCTGTGCCTTGGAGATGTCCCAGGGCTGCTTGGCCAAGATGCAACATTCACAGAATTCTTTAGTCATCACTTTTCTGTTCGGTTCTGAAATTGGGAGTTTCGAAAGAGCTTCTAATGTTCACTGAAGAGGGGACTAGGCCTGAGTAAGAGTGTCCGCTCCAGGGCTGGACAAGCTCGGGCAGGGCCCTGGGAGGCCGTGAAAGAGGCTCGGGGTTCAGGCGGAGCAGGCCAGATGGGCCAGCCCGTGCCAGAGGTCTGCACGCAGCAAATGCGACCAGCAGGTGTGGACACGGGTAAACAGATTCTCCTGTTCAACCACGCAGGTGATGGGAGAGTCCTCTGAACTCCCCTTTATGACTGGGGGTGAGGAAGGTCACTGAAGGATAATGGCGGGGGAGGGACCCAAGCGTCAGTCTCTGGTTTACGACTCTGTGGCTACTGGCATGGGCTGGGCTTTCCAAGCCGAGTCTCATGGTCTGTAAAGTGGAAGTTGAGCCCTGGGTCAGGACAGTGGAGGTAACACAGCACTCGCAGGGCAGACCTAGGGTCTGGGCCACCTTTCCCAACATCCAGGCATCATTTTGGCTACAGAGACCACAGCAAACCGCCTGCCTATTCCTCAGGACACCTTAGTCGTGCACCCAGCACCAGGAGGTGCTGATGGGCATCTGGTAAGACAGGACATCACGGACTTGGGGAGGACAAGCGGGTCGTGATGAGCTGATTGGAGTTCAGAGACAAGCTGGGCCTCAGAGAAGCAGCAATTTTGGAGCTTTTTGAGTCTCACTGGACATCAGCATAGATAGGGTACCCTGTAGGGTGAAGACCCCGGGGCCAGGAGATGAGGGCAGTGAGGGCCTGATGGTTTTTGCCCGGACACGGGGCTGTCCCGACATGAACTCAGGAAGCCAGCCAGTCTGGTGGCCGTTCATCTCTTAAATTTATTGCCAGAGAAATGCTGGGAAATGCTATTCTGGCTCCTCTGTTCTGGTGTCTGGCTGGCTCCACAGGTCTCTGAACTCAAGCGGAGTTAAAATCTTTGCCTCTGCCGAGGTCTTTGTCCAGCTGTCTGCTTGATAGAACCTTTGTCCCCTCTGAGGAGCGTGTGTGTCATCGGGCTTGATGGTGGCCCCAGGGGACCAGAGACGCGAGACTGGTGGGAAGCAAGTGGCCTCTGAAACAGGAAACTGCAGCTAGTTTAATAAGGGGACTATTCTCAAGGGGCTGTCCCCAGGGATGGTACGGGTCCCCAGGGCCAGCTACGAGGTACAGCGTTTAATATCCTCCCCAGGACTGCAAGGGGTGGGTGAGGACCCAGAGAGAGGTGATGCTGTGCCCAGGGCCCCTGTAAAGAAATACGAAGGACACAGGAACTGTAGCTTCACTATCCGAAGTCTTCCTCTGGGCTCCCACTGGCCGAACCCACATGGCCCAGTCATGAGGCCCCCGACCCAGCCCAGGAGGCCACACACTCAGGACGCAGATCAGCTGGAGATGGGGCATCGAGGTCCTTCTGGGAGGGAAGGAAAAAAACAGCAACAGGGAGTTTGGGTGGCTTCTTCATCTGTGAACATGGCCCAGGGTTTCATTTTCATTCCTATTTAAAACTTGATCCAAGTAGTATTTATCATAGAATAAAAGTCAATATATAAATGATACTGTCTTTTACTTCCAGGGAAGAACACCTGGTGAGATGGTCTTGAAATATCTTTGATCTTCCTGCTGACTGACTTACACGAAGATGTGCATAATATGAATGCAGATGCAAACATCGACATGTGTTTAATATAGAAATAACAAACATTTGTTCAAGAAAGAAAACCAGAGAAAATTATTAGCGAAATAGTAAAAATTAGCTGCAATCAGTCCAGACAATGATGTGTTCAGCATTTGAATGTGTATGAGAACAGTTTCTTATATGTGCGTGTGTTTTTACCTGACATCAGTGGAGTTGTGTTCCATGTACATTTTTATATCCAGTGTTTTTCACTTAAAATGACCAGGAAGCATATTCTTGTGTTGCTGGCTTCCTGAGCCCTGTCTTCTGGGTAAGTCATAATTTATTTCGACATCTCCTACTATTGGTCATCTAAGCTGTGTTAAAGATTTTTTTTTTTATGTGGACCATTTTTAAAGTCTGTTGAATTTGTTACAACATTGCTTCTGTTTTATGTTTTGGTTTTTTGGCCCCTAGGCATGTGGGATCTTAGTTCCCTGATCAGGGGTTGAACCCTCACCCCTGCATTAGAAGGCAACGTCTTAAACACTGGTGTGCTGCGCTGTGTGTGAATGGTCAGTCATGTCCAACTCTGTGACCCCATGGACTGTATGTAGCCAGCCAGGCTCCTCTGTCCATGGGTTTCTCCAGGCAAGAATACTGGAGTGGGTTGCCATTCCCTCCTCCAGGGGATCTTCCCAACCCAGGGATCAAATCTAGGTCTCCCACAAGGCAGGCTGATTCTTAACCACTGTACTGCCGGGGAATTCCCAACAATTTGAACCTGCCTCCTCCCTCCACCCTGCAGACTCCCCTCCTCAGTGACTGTCTGTCTGTCTCTCTGCTTCTGTTTAACCAGGTTGTTCTCCTGGCAAAGTTTTAGGGACAATTTATGTTTGCTGGGGGTAGAGAGGAAGAGGACTGACAACCAAAATAGAACAGTTCACACAACATTTTTTCCTGTTAAATGTCTGGCCCTGGGTTATCTGGAATCCATCTGCTCCCAGAAGAATTGTCGAAATGTTCAGAAAAAAAAAAAAACACTCTTTGATAGAAGTCATCTTGCAAATCCAATTCGAAGGAAGAGAACCAGCTCAGGACCTGCAGAGGGGCTGCAAGAGAAAGCAAGAAAAAATGAACAGCAGCTCCCAGGCAGGGCTCAGGAGGCAAGCCAGGACCGCGGACAGGCCCTGGGGTCACAGTCAACCCTCCAACAAACACGGCCACCCGCCCCCTCTAGGCCAGGCTGCCCTCAGGGACACGCAGAGCACACGTGTGCTTTCTGGACCTGGAGGTCTGGTCGGCCTGTGGTCACCACCGTCACACAGACAGGAGCTGCCCACACGACACTTCTGCCCAGCATCAAATGGGGCCCACACAAGGGAGTGAGGAGTTGTGTCCACATGGGGGTCAGGTCCGCCTCTAGAATGACCATCAGCCCAGCCTGGGAAGAGCAGGAGTGACGACCCCTTGATGGAGACTGACAGCTTCTGGTCCCTTGCAGGTGTGGTCACGTGCTCACCTGCCAGGTGAGGCAGCTAGGAGCCCAAGATGGGGCTGGAGGAGACGCCCCTCACCGACTGCCCCCCACCCCCGACCTGAGCCAGGAACCCTAGTATTAGCCCTGGGTTCTCTGCCTTGGGACCACGTGTTCACCAGATGTTCTGGGGAGCAGGGTTCTCCCAGCACTGGGGGAAGATGGTTGGGGTCAAGGCAGAGGTTGCAGGGACACAGAATAGGCTCTGAAAACCCAGAGGCAGCAAACCCAGGCCTTGCAGCCTGGATCCGGCCAGCTGGTGGCTTTGCTACATGTTGTGGTGCGTTACGGAAAAGCTAGACTGCTATTGAAAGATGAGTTTTTACAGGACACCCTAGATTTTCAGATTCTCTGGGGAAAAGGGAGGAGCTGGCACTGCTAGGCCTGATGTTCATGGGGCAGGATGGCTCCTCGCAGTGCCCACGGGGCTGCCTCAGGCTGCGGCCAGCGTGTCACCACCCTTCCCAGCCGGGTCCAGCAAGGGTCCTCCTGCCGGGCATTGCTCCCACCGCTAGACCAAGACAGACTTGGGTTCAGAAACAAAGGAAAGTGTTAGCCTTTGGTCAGAGAGCATAGAGGCACTGTGCTACCTTCATCCTTAATGGAAAAACAGAGAAACTGACCCAGAGGGCCCCCTGCCATCACTTCTCTATTTTCCTGTTCCCCTCCCAGTGCAAGTCCTCAAAAGTGTCGTCTCTGCCAACTGTTGTCACTTTCATGGTCCATTTCCACAGGACCCGTTGGTCAGGTGGGTGTCCTCCAAGGGGCATCTCCGAGTCTCTGCAGCCCGGGACCCCGCTGCAGCCTCCACTAGAGAGACGCCCTCGTGTTCCCTGGTTTCCCTCCCTCCGGTCACCGTCTCTCATCTCCACGTACACCACCCTCTCAGTGATAGGATCTGGTTACTGGTCTCTCATGGAGAAGCGAGCTCCAGGCAGGTGGGGACTGATGTGGGCCACTGTCTTCTCTAGCCTGAGCTTCCAGGCTTGCCTGGCCCTTGAAACAGTTTTGCTGAAAAGATGATGCATGAAGGGGCCAGCGTTTCTGTGATGACACGTGTGTGTGACCAACACTTAATGAGGACTGTTGAGTCCCGCCCAGAGCCACAGATTCGAGACCTTGCAGCAAGGCCCCAGAAGCGGAGCTCAGAACCAAGGTCACCTCCGAAGCTGACTGAGCCCCTTTGTAATGTTGCCAAAGCCCCTAGGAAGCCTCCTGACTCCCAATTAGGCAAAGATGCCCACTCCGGTAAACACTCTATTGCACCTAACGCCAACCTTCCAGCAGGAATTTTCTTTGTCTTGAGGCTATAAAAATTGGCTATTAACCCACAAAAACTGTTCACTCTCCCTGGCCTGTCACGAGCTGTCAGCCCACAGCCCTTGCAGTGCCCTCTTTATCTCTGCCCTTTGTTCTTAATAAATTCACTCCCTTCTACAGTGCTCTGTGTCTGGGAATTCTTTTCCAACCCGCGCTCAGACTGGCTCAACAAGTACCTTAGTTTCTGCTATAACAAATCACTGCAAATTTACTTAAAACAAGAGGAATTTATTCTCTCACTTTTTGGGGGGGAAATCAAAAGTCCAAAATCAAGATGCCAGCAGGTCTGTACTCCCGCCAAGATCTGGGAAGAACCTCAGTTTCTTTGGCCGCTGGAAGCACAGCTCCAACCTTTGTCCCCCTTGCCTACTACCTCCTATCTCTGTGTCCAAACCTCTCTCGCCTTCCTCTTGGGTTTAAGACACCATCATGGGGTTTAAGACCAGTCCTAAAACCAGGGTTTCAAACGCCTTAACTACTGCAACCGCAAGCACCATTATTGTTCAGCTGCCAAGTTGTGTCCGACTCTTCACAACACCATGGACTGCAGCATGCCAGGCTTCCCTGTCCTTCCCTATCTCCTGTAGTTTGCCCAAGTTCATTCCCACTGAATCGGTGATGTCATCCAACCATCTCATCTTCTGCCACCCTTTTGTCCTTTCGCCTTTAATATTTCCCAGCACCCTGTTTGTCAACAATTCCACATTCTAACATTCCTAGTAGGCTTGCCCAAGTGGTGCTAGTGGTAAAGAACCCACCTGCCAAAGCAGGAGAAATAAAAGACATGGGTTTGATCCTGGATGGAGAAGATCCCCTGGAGGAGGGCATAGCAACCCACTCCAGTATTCTTGCCTGGAGAATCCCATGGACAGAGAAGCCTGGTGAGCTATAACATATAGGGTCACAGAGGGTTGGAAACGACTAAAACAACTTAGGATGCACGTGTGTCCTGTCTACTACATTTCAGAGAGGGTCCCACACCTCTCTGTGCGGAGTCTCACACCTACAGTGGCCAGGCAGTGCAGGAATGTGTGAAGTAAGCCGTAGGTGGAAGTGGGGAGACCCTGAGCTAGACTGGTGGAACCTCAGAAGCCCTGTGCAAAGAAAGCAGCCATCCAGCTGCTGATGGGTGACCCTGGAGGTAAATCGAAGGTCAGGCTGATCAGCTTAGATCGTAAAGGCCTTGGAGACTCAGGCCAGGACTGGAGGTTTGGCCCTAGCGTGCATGTATGCTAAGTCACTCAGTTGGATCCAACTCTGTGTGACCCTATGGACTGTAGCCCTCCAGGCTCCTCTGTTCATTGGATTTCCCAGGGAAGAATACTGGAGAGAGTTGCCATTTCCTTCTCCAGCATATCTTCCTCACCCAGGGAATGAACCATCATCTCTCACATCTCCTGCATTGGCAGGGGGAGTTCTTTACCACTAACACCACCAGAGGGCAAAACACAAGACTCTAAGCAGAGCATGAGCTCCATCATATCAGGTTACATTCGTCAGCATTTTGCTCAATTGTTTGCTCCACTTTTCTGCCTTTTCCCCTGCCTCCTACATTTTTCTTTTCCATTTAAGCAAAACAGACCTTGAATTTCTTGCTTCTGGAATGTCACTGAAAATAGCTTACTCAGAAAAGCTAGCTTTCCATAAATACACCAATTTATAAATGACAGAACATGATAACAGGGGTTGCAGACATTCCTCATTTGTTTTTGTTTGTTTGTTTGACTCTCTCAAGGACACGACGATCTGACGCGCACATCTTTTCAGCTCTGAACGTTAGTTCCAGAGTTCTGACCAGATTTCCTTAAGTCAAAAGAATTTATACTGACAGGAGAAAGTGAAGTGAAAGTGTCAGTGGCTCAGTCCTATTCGACTCGGCGACCCCATGGACTGTAGCCCACTAGGCTCCTCTGTCCGTGGGATTCTCCAAGCAAGAATACTGGAGTGGGTTGGCATTCCCCTCGCCAGGGGATCTTCCCCACCCAGGGATTGAACCTGGGTCTCCCGCATTGCAAGCAGATTCTTTACTGTCTGAGCCCCCAGAGAAGCCCACACTGACAGGAGCAAGCAGAAAAGTTATTATCCACATAAGGAAAGTGGAGTTAATGACCCTCAGAATTAGAATTCCTCTTTTTGGTTATACTTCGAAATGTCAGAACAAAAGATTAAAGAAGGAAAGATTGTCTGATACCTTCACCTACTAATCCATGGGAACAGGCATACTTAAAGTTTCCAGAATAAGAAACAAATTGATGGGATTCACCAGTGAAGCCATCTGACCCTGGGTTTTCTTTGTTGGAAGGTTTTTTTGAAAAACTTTTAATTTTGTACTGGACTATAGCTGATTAACAATGTTATGATAATTTCAGTTGAACAACGAAGGGACTCAGACACACATATACACATATCCATTTTCCCCAAGCCCCCCTTCCATCCAGGCTGCCACATAACCCTGAGCAGAGTTTCCCGTGCTCTACATTGGGTCCTTGTTGGTGATCCATCTTTAATAGAGCAGTGTGCACATGTCCATCCCAAACTACCCAACATCCCTTCCCTCTGGCAAACATAAGTTTGTTCTCTATGTCTGTGAGTCTCTTTCTGTTTTGTGAGTAAGTCCACTGGGATTTCCTGGTGGCTCAGCTGGTAAAGAATCTGCCTGCAGTGCGGGAGACCTGGGTTCTATCCCTGGGTTGGGAAGATCCCCAGGAGAAGGAAACGGTTACCTATTCCAGTATTCTGGCCAGGAGAATTCCATGGACTATATAGCCCAGGGAGTCACGAAGAGTTGGACACGACTGAGTGACTTTCACTTACTCACTTCATTTGTATCATTTCTTTTTAGATTGTTGGTTATCGATTCAATCCCCAAGCTAGTTACAGATCTGTTCAGACTTTCTGTGTCTTCATTGGTTGGCCCTGGTAGGTCATACGTTTCTAGGAATTTATCCACTTGACTAGGCCGTCCAGTTTGTTAGCATATATTAAACTGTTCATAGTAGTCAACCTTCAGATCATAGTCGACTTTTCCATCCTGGGCTTCAGAACTCATAGAAGTGACTCTTGATGGGTGTTCCTCACCCCACCCCCACTGACTGACCCACCCTCTTTGGGGCAGATTGGTTTTTGAAAGAAGGAAATAGGATGCTTTCGTTTTTGTTTTGTGTGTGTGTTTTTTTTTTTTTTTTTTGCTTTCATCTGACCTCCTTTTCTACTTCCTGCCCACCTGAAAATTAATAAATACCTTCACGCGAGAAAACAGATTTTGACTCCTTGCTCAAAGCCACTCGGATTCCTCACAAAATAGAATAGTGATCTTGGAGGTCTTCTTCCTCTTGATCTCTTGTGATGAAACAGATAATGATGGAAAAACAGGGCACTGACTGTGCATTTTAAGAAGGCTTGTGTCACTGTGTCATCTGTTCAGCAGATGTCTTTTCTTTCTGAGACAGCCCAGAACCTATCTGGAAGGAAGGGAGGAAGGAAGTGCTGGCAGAGGACAGGAGCTCCTCACCCTACACTTAGGAAGGAAGAGTTGTTACCTACTTTTATCTTTCTGTTTCTTGGAGGAGCAGACCTATCTCCTTGCATGTTAATTGTTAGGGAGTTGCAGCATTTTCACTCTATTTTATGGTATCTTCTAAATCAGGATGGAATGACTCTGACCCCTTCCTCCTGTTGGCACAGCTTTCATTTCTTTCTCTCCCTTCCCCAGTGCTTCCTTCCTCCCCCGTGTCTGTTCCTGACCCTCCCACCGCCTCCTGTTAGACCCTAAGCCCGTGACTTCCCCACTGATGGTAGGAGTCCAGTCTGAAAGGATTGCTGACCTCTTTCACCACCCTGACTTCCTCTGGTCAGTCTTTGCGCCTGGGTTAAAATGTCTTTGCTGTAGAACCCATGAAACGTCAAAGACTCAGTTAACTCAGAGCTCCCTCCCTGTGTGTCTGGAGAGTCTTACTGGTGAATTTGCGTTGCCCTGAAACCTTCCATGTTTTCATAAATTATGATGACCAGTACTGCGGAGTGATTTAAAGATCAGGGCCACTTGTTTTATGCTGGTAAGAGTTCATTTCCACAAAAAGTTAACAAATATGGTAGCATCTTGATTCTTGTCAAATGTCATCAACTACTTTCAACTATTTTAGTTCAGTAAAACCAAATCTCTCCCTTCCTGGACTTGCAAATGTGTACTTTAGGTGAAATATAATCCCTATGTTTCTACCACATTTGCACTTAATACAGTCAGCTATTGTTTTCTTAAAGTCCAAGAACACTTTAAGAGATTTCAACAATCCCCTTTTGAAAAGCTTGCTTCCTCCCAGGCCCCTAAACAGGAAATTGTATTTTACTCAGGGTAAACAGATTTTATAGCTTCCAAAGTTCTAGTGTGGCTTCGTGCCAAGCACCCGACATGAGTAAAGAGGCTCTTAAATTAACAAAATATGCGCTGCTTCCTCCAGTTTGAAAGGGTGCAGATGTGAAATTCTCAAGTTTATAACCTTACATGCATTGTGTGTATAACATGATCAATACAGTATATAAGTGCATTATAGATATTTGTGTGTGAGTGTATGTGTGTGTGTGTATGACAGTTGCTCAGTCGTGTCCGACTCTTTGTGGCCCCATAGACTATAGCCCACAATTCTCCTCTGTCCATGAAATTCTCCAGGCAAGAATACTGGAGTGGATAACCATTCCCTTCTCCA